GTTTCATTGGATATCATAAGTCACAAGGAGTGGATGCATCTTCGCTAGTCATTGAGAACGATTTTTAGCCATGCCATCAATTGTTTCCAACCTTCGTTGGTTTTTACCGTCCCGAGGACCCCAGCCTGGAAGTCTACACCTTCCTACGTGACTGGCTTAGACCAACTGTTGTGGATTTCATTGACTGGTGCCAAGTTTTTGTTTGACCGCCGCTAGCTTTTTTCCAGCCTGACCCTATATCCGCTAACATTGCCTGTCAGTTGAGGAAGGTGATGACTAGGCATACGTAACACATGTCCTAACCATCTCACTCAGTCGATGTAATTTCACAGCCTCGTCGATTGATTTCCCCTCCTTACCTAGAACCCGACCCATGCCTAACCTCAATATTGCTCACCTTATTATACCACTTCACACGGGAGATAGAATGCAGGCACCTATGATCAAACACAGCTAACTGGGCTTTTCATGTCTTCCACTCTCAATGGTCAGGTCTCACAACCATAAAGGAGGACGGAGCGGACTGATGAGCAATACACCCGCCCTTTGGTCGATAGTTGAACATCTCGTCTATGCCAGAGTCGGCGTAAACTGGCAAATGCGAAACGAGCCTCCTGTATCCGTGATGAGATTTCGTCAGAGATCAACCCGTTGGGACTGGCTGATGGTACTTCCCAAATAAGTGAAGCGGTCAACGTGCTCTACCACTTCACTTCCTATTTTTAAACTAGGCGTCGATGTAGTCCAGTCCTGTAACATCATCTTGCATTTGGCGGGAGCGAATCGCATGTCAAACATTCGTAGATTACAGCTCAAGGTGTTCAGAAGACTCTGCATTCTATCAGCGTCTCCGCCTAGAAGGACTATATCGTCTGCATATTCCAAGTCAACGAGATTATTCCCTGGTAGCAAGTCAATCCCTGAATCGCTGAAGTCACTTAGGGTTAAGTCCATTAACACATCTATGATGAAGTTGAATAGAAAAGGGGATAATGGGCATCCTTGACGGACACCACTGGTCGTCATCAGTTCAGATGACAGCTCGCCGTAAGCCCTCACCAGGCTGTATGAGTACGAGTAGAGTGCCTTAATCAGTGCAATATATTTTCTTGGAATTCCCTTTACAGCCAAGCATCTCCAGAGAACTTCCCGATCGACAGAGTCGAATGCTGCCTTTAGGTCAAGAAATATAATGACTGTTGGACGCCGGTAGGAATGCCTATGTTCTAGAATCTGTCGGAGGGTGAAGATATGATCAATACACCCACCCTCTTCCTGGTCTAAAGCCTGCCTGGCTCTCTCGTGTTTGTGTCTCCCCAGCACCACTTATTCTACGCATGATTATTGAGCCTAAGACTTTAGATACTATATTAGTCATGCTAATCCCTCTGTGATTATCACAGGAAGACCTGTCTCCCTTCTTGTATATCGGGATAATTTTTATACTTATATCAAGCACGAAACCTAATTTCAAGATCTCCTACCCGACTGCTTCCAATAATCTAGTGACAATAAATTTCAGTAGCTTTCAGTTTCAAAACTACACTGTTTGTGTAAATAATCACTACTCATGAATTTAATGTATATATGCGCTTAATATTTTTGTGTGTATATATTTAGCATCTGCTCAAATGACTTAATAATCTATGATTTTTTCTGAAAAAAATTTTTGCTCTTTAAGATTTTACATACTCAAACTATTTGAGAATGTGTATAGGACTGATGCTGCCTTTCCAGTCAATTTTTATTTGTTTATAATTTTCATCCTTCTCTTTAGCCAAATATCGTTTACCTTTAAAAGTAATAAATAATTCATTTGAATGTTTTCTAGCTGCATTCTAGAGGGGAAAGACAATGAGTCCATCATACTTTGCTATTGTTTTGAAGGTTGTCATTATTATAAACCAATCATATATATATATATATATATATATATATATATATATATACTTTTCTTGGGTTCTGAGTAGAACTTAAGGTTTTAACAGCAAGTCACCATTTTGTCTTAATCTCTGTGAGTCTTTTGTGTTTTATTTTTGTATCTGGAACCACGATTGCCGATAAGTTTTCATCTTCACCATGTCACCCTAGGACGTCTTTATTCCGTTAGTATGAAGAATGTTTCAAATTTCGTGACTCATAATTGCTGGTCAAATTACCTTATGTGTATGTGTCAGTTTAAGAGTAGTGCATGAATCAACCTGATTAATATTGACAACCTATTTCTGTTCTTTGTCAGTTCACTTAATAATCACAATAGGCTGATATAGGGGAGTAGGATATTAAAGTAAGATGAATTTCAGATTCACTCATGTATTGGTTGGAGGATTTTCATCATGAGCTGACATTAGTAAGAGAACCATTGGAAAACCTGGGACTGCTGGACGGCTGTTTCTTCCTTATTTTTGGGACTCTTCATCAGTACGCACTCAAAGGGGGTCGAAGCCAGGACCTTCTGGTTACAAGGCGAGCTCATAGACCATTAAGCCACTCATACATATTAAATTAATAATCCCCATTATGACATAAAAGCAAAGAATTCAGTGAAGGAAACGTTCTTTTCGACGGTTTCATTTTCGTAGCTGTACAGTCGTATATATATATATATATAAATAACAATCAGTTATCTTCTGTGTATGTTAAAGTTTCACAGTGAGGGGAAATAAAGTGCGATAATATTATCGTATAGGATTATGAGTCGCAATTGATCAGATACCTGAATGAATTACTAAGTCGGTGGCACAGCGGTTAGGACTCTCGCCGACCATCCACATGGTCCGGGGTTCGACCCCTTGCCGACGCACACCTGATATCTATGGTTGGCCTGTAAAATTCGGGCTACTGATATCATATGCTGACAATTCCATACTTGTAACAAAAATACTGTGTGGTTTCAAGCTATCATAAAAAAAAAGAGTTCAACCAAAAGCTCAATGGTCAACATGTGTAAAATAGATGATCGGAAAATAAAGTGCATTCAGAAATGTGAATATAATATGATGGAAACATAGGATGAGTGAAATGTTCTCAAAATATTAGACTAGATAAAATGTTCGAATATGATAATATAACTGGGAATAAAATAAAACAAAAATGAAATATGGAATTAAGAAGGATAACAAAGTGTAAGATCAATACCGTAGTAATAAAAGTGACCGTACAAATTGTTTTTGTACACAAAGTTCTGGCCTTATTTTATGTATTGTCAAAGCGTCTACAGTACAAAGCAAATGCACTCGTATCCCTTTTCGGCAAACTTTGTAGACTATATTAAGCTATATGTCAGATGCTGCGTCGTGGTCAGTATCTACAATATGCTGCAATATTGATGAATTAACACCTCTACGTTCTCATTTGCTCTCTTTGGCGTCCTTTTTGACACTTGGGCTACCTTTCCGTACATCTACATATTGCATCGAATGCAACATGTTTTCATTTTTAATATTTACAAAATATGATCACAAATCGTATCAAATGCAGTAATGAATTCATTAAACGTTTCAAACCATATGACTTTCATGTATCTAATAAAACTTGAGAAAACATCACAGTGGTTGGCGACGTGCTGTCAAACAGACACCTTTATATCGCACAACTATTCCTATTGTTGTCTGTTCAAACTGCCATTCACTTCCGAACAAAATTATGCATCTCCAGTCTCTCTTATCATCTGATACTTATCACAATACGGTGATAGTTGCATTACAAGAAACATGGCTCCATGAACTTTATGATGACAACCTGGTTTCTTTAAATGGTTTTACATTGTTTAGACAAGATCAAATTATTATTATTAGTCAAACTTGGACTTGCTGTCGAACGCGGCAGGGGGTGTGTTTGTCGACGAACGTCCTATGTACCTCTGCAAGAGCAGGTAAACATATAAATACACATGAAATTATTTTGATTTGACGCTAGTAACTAGTGTGATGTGTCTAGTCGTCTCTTTGGTGCAGACTGAATTCCATCAGTCAGGTTGTATGTAATGTGGCCACCATTCTGCGTAGCTCGCCATCACGGTGCACATTGATTTGATGATATTAGATGATTAGAGGCAGCACTGGATGACGCGGATTAGAATCTCAAAAGGGACATGATTTCCTTCAAGGTTGCAGATATGCCTTGCTGACTGGTGCGTGCCAACTAGCACGAAATCTAGGTCAAGCAAGGCTTCCTGTAGCCTATTGCCTCCAACCATCTAATATCATCAAACACATGAAATTAAACAATCGAGATAACAGTATTATATTCATATTTCTCGGAATGTACTTTATTTTCCGATCACATCTATTTCACGCATGCTCTCTACAGAGCTTTAGGTTGACCTCTATTTAATTAGTGATTCATTCAAATATCTGATCAATTGCGACTCATAATTGTGCGTCGGTGGCACAGTGGTTAGGACTCTCGCCGACCATGCACATGGTCCGGGGTTCGAGCCCACGCCGACGCACACCTGATATCTATGGTCGGCCTGCAAAATTTGGGCTACCGATATCCACGCTGAAAATTCCATACTTGTACAAAAAATACAGTGTGGAATCAAGCTGTAATCAAAAATTAAAAAAAATAAATACTAACATATTATGTCATTTTAGTGTTTCCATTCACTGTCACACTTTAACATATATACATACACACAGAAGAAAAACTGATTGTTATTGTCTATTGTAATTGTTATATATATATATATATATATATATATATAGGATTGTACAGCTACGAAAATGAAATCGTCGAAAAGAACGTTTTCTTCGCTGTCATCTAGTCCCATTGAGATAAGCAAAACGACTGATTTTTCTAGTATGCTTCATATATATTCTTTTTTGATCGAACCGTCAAAAGAAGAATTCATCGTGTTAGCTAACATCTATCAAGTTTGTTTGTTTTTTCTAAATTTTTGTCCGATTGTGTTTATATATATATTTCTCGTTTTAAAAATCAACTAAAGTAACTTTTACTTTTTTTTTCTTTGTTTGTTTGTTTTTATTGTTGTTTAGAAATGAACTCGAAAGAAGATTTTTAGAAATCATTCAATTTAATATCAATGTGCCTAGTTCAGTTTATGCAAAATATTATTTTGATATTCGATCTCTGTGTGGAACTAGTTGTCCAGCAACACTATTGTCTACGGATCGTGCTTATAAACTTGAGGTATGTCGTATGCATGTATGCATCAATTCGCCACTTTATTCGAGCACTGCAACCCCCCGCCCACCCCTTGGCTCTCACTAGTAGTAGTTGATCATGTCAAATTATTGACATTTTATCTGTCGTCTATTAAAAAGAAAACTGTCATCTGTTTCTTTTTTTCTAAAAATATTTTTTTTTTGTTAGAAATCAGAAATAATGAATTTTTTGCAGAAAATGTTTGATAATTTGAATTTTCTGACTGAACGACGCACGCTTACACACACACACACACGCAGAGAGAGAGAGAGAGAAAGGTACTGATTGATTTCTATGCATCTAGTGGGTTGCGTGACTCAAGGGATTCTTCTTTAAGTAGATAGGTTATTTTTGTTTCAGTGTTTTGAATTAATTTATACAGGATTTTTAAATTCAGTATCGCTTGAATATTGAAGATCAATTAATTGATCAATAAAGGTTGAGTGTAGCAGGGAATTCTGGCAATGAGCCACATCAACTACCTATCATCTAATCAATATGCAGGATGATGTGGATATTGATTTGGAGATATACTCTGAGGAAACCTTTGAGTGATGTCACTCACCATTGAGTGATTGAATGAGAATAGGAAACGACACATGGGGAGTTGTTGTGACAGGGTGACACTTAGGCGATCGTGTGAGGAGGAAATGAAAGCTTATGGACAATTATGAAGTCAGCTGAAGAGAAAGACTGCTGAGGATAGAATGGAGTGTACATGTGCTGATGAAGTTATAGGTTCATCTCAAAACTCAAGGGAATGATAATCATGAATTCCTATAGAAATTTTTATCAATGCGATCTATGTTTGATTAAGTAAATTAATGATATCTTGTGCGTCGGTGGCATAGCGGTTAGGCCGCTCGCCGATCCCCGGCCACAGACGCACTCCTTTACCTCACTAAGCCAGAAATAATAATGGTAAAGAGGAAAGGTTGGGCATGAGGCTAACAACCCCACCCTGTAAAATAAACGCTGCTACAGAATCTTCAAGCCACTAGCCTGAAGCCCTATGTTCCACTGGGGAACATGAAGGAAAAAAATGATATCTTCAGAGAATTCAAGTGGTTCATAGCTGCGAATAAGGATCAGAACTAACTTGATGTGCAAGAGATACTGATCCCTTTATATTTCATTTATGTATACACTTTCCAATCGTCAGTGTTTAACACAGTCGTATGCATAAGCAGTCGACTTATTGGATGATGTATCGAATGTATTAAACAAAAATGACGTATTATGCAATGACACCAGCATCATTATCAATGCTTTACGTTCTCAGTGGAACATAGGGTTCCAAGCTAGAGGCTTGAAGTTTCCCTAGCAGTGATGATTATTTTTACAGGATGGTGCTGTTAGCCTCATCCCCACCTTCCCTCTCTACCAGTCTTACTATTGGCTTAGTGAGGTGAAGGAGTGCGTCGGCTGCCGGGGATCGAACCGCAGACCACCTGCGTGGTTGGCGAGCACTCTACCGCTGTGCCACACCAATTATCAATGCTAGAAATTGGATATGCTTAAAATGGATGTACGGTTGAGCCTTCGGGTGTTAGGTTCCGAGAAATCGGTAGTATATTCTAGCTATTTACTTAATTGACTGTTAGAGTTATGTGCAATTTTTTCATCGCATATTTCATATCCCATCAGATAAGTGAAGAATAATAACGAATCGGTATTTTTACGAAATTGCAAACTTGTTATATAGTTCAAATACACTACCGACAATGGTTCACGTTGGTCGATATAATGGTGTTAATAAGTTAAATGCGTTTACCTAGTTGTACATCTGTGTAGACGTCATCACGAGCCAACATCAGTTAACGAGGCGAAATGAAAACTAGGAAACATTGGGTATTGGTTTCGTCCCAGTTTAGGACTTTTCATTAGTGCATACCCACTAACACTAGACTGCTGGGGGTCGCGCCCAGGACATTCCGGTCACGAGATCAAGCTCGTTAACTGTTCAGCTATTTGAACTGGAATTTTAAAGATCTGTGAATGCCCATTGAGTCATGAAGAAAATAAAAGACGGATTCAGCGAAGAAAATTTTCTTTATCGACGAAATCATCTTCAGAGGCTGTACAGTCGTATTTATACTTAGAAGAATGTATAGTGGTCTATTATTGAATAATAGGGGGTGACATAATTGCTGTAATTAATCATAAGTGGCTTTAGAGGTGAAAATTAAAAGTTGTAAATTACATGGTACTTGACGGAACAAAGATAGAAGTTAGAAAAGGTTAAAATTGCTCTTGAGTGAGAATAAAGTTATTAGAGTGTCAATTTAACAAGTGTGAAGAAGGTGTGAAAATATATGAAATTGATAATAGTGAATTAATTATTAAAGCAAAAGCAAACTAAAAGTAAAATTAAAGATTAAGAACAAAATCAAAAATATTTTTTAACAGGGAAGGATAAGTGAAGAGGTTAAGACCAAGGTAGAATAAGAGACTGGACAAACTTTTTCTGTATACAGAGATCAGGGTTGTATTGATGTATTGCCAGCGCCTCCGCCATACACAAAAGCCGGAACCTGACGCCTTTTGTACAATTTGGCTTCACTTTGTAGATGATGTTGAAAGACGACTCTGGTGGAGCTACGTGGCCTGAGTTCACCAAATGCTCGAGAATTGAGCTAGTAATTGTCTTGTATTGTCCCTTTGCTAACCATGCCGGATAATGTTCAGAGATGCGTTTGGAAAGCGTGCGCTTTGTGCGGCCAATATAACTTGCTCCACACGAGCATGTGAATTTATAAACACACATTGAGGTGGCCCAAAGCGGCAGCTTATCCTTTACACATCCGTTGATCATTCGTCGGCTGTAGAAATTGATACGTAGCTCAGCCATAAAGAAGGCTTTCCTCAGTGATCTGCGTAAGCGATTCTTCAAGATCTCAGCTGCAGTATCACCTTTAAATTCAACACTCATAAAGAGCAGTTTCTTCGGCACAGTCTGAATTCTTTCGGGCTTTTCTCTTAGCTTCATGTTTTTCTCGATGAATCTTGGAGGATATCCATTCTCTAAGAGAACTTGTCTGAGTCGCTCCAATTCCCCATCGATTGTATCACTTGAACATATCCTCCTTATTCTTGAGGATAAGGAATGGATCAAATTTCTCTTTCTTCTTAAAGGGACCCAGCTATGGAAATTTGTGTACTGACCATTCCATGTTGGTTTCCTGTAGATCGATCTTTGAAGAGAGCCATCAGATCTCCTCTTTAGAAAAACATCCAAAAAGTGGAATTCCGAGTTAATCTCTGATTCCGACGTGAATTTGATGGCATGATGGCAGCTTGAACCCCGGACCATGTGCATGATGGGTGAGAGTCCTAACCAATGTGCCACCGACGCGCATTGGTTATCAAACAAAGAAGTGATAATATCGATTCACCTCTAAACCTTCAAATATTTATCAGTAAACATGAGAATTTCATTTATATTCACTTAGAATGAAGACTATAAATTCTGTTAGTAGTGTGGCATGTGCTATTGACAAGATTTTGTAAGTAGTGTGTTATTTGCGTATGATACCTACTTCAAGAATTTTGGTTATCAGAGGAATAGATCGAATGATGAAGAGGAGAAATGGAAGATTTTTATGAGATAATGTAGAAAGCATGGGTTCACCTCTAAAGCCACTTATGATTAATTACAGCAATTATGTCACCCCCTATTATTCAATAATAGACCACTATACATTCTTCTAAGTATAAATACGACTGTACAGCCTCTGAAGATGATTTCGTCGATAAAGAAAATTTTCTTCGCTGAATCCGTCTTTTATTTTCTTCATCTGTGAATGCCAAGTTTCTCAGTTCGTAACGGCATCTACTTGGATATTAATCGAATTCCCTACTAAGATCCATAGTGCGTCGGTGGCACAGCGGTAGAATGCTCGCCGACTACGCATGGTGATCCGGGGTTCGATTCCTGGCTGACACACTCCTTTACCTTGTCAAGACTGATAAGGAGGGAAGGTTGGGCACGAAACAAGCGACTCCACACCGTAAAAAATAAACACCACTGCTACCGAAACTACTTCAAGCCTCCAGCTTGAAGCCCTGTGTTCCACTAGGAACGTAAAGAAATTAAAAAACACTAAGATCCATTATCTAAATACATCTATGTAATGAATTTTTTTCTTGTTTTGAATACTATTTCTACAGTACTATATAAAGTGTAGCTAAAACATTTTGTTGTATCCTATACTTTCAGGCATTTTCACGGATTATGGATGATCAATTCCATGATATTGTTCAAAAATGTCTTACTAAACGAAAATGGGGAAGTTTTGATAATTTAACATCTTCACCACCATTTCGACGTGCTGTAATCTCATGAGAAGACAGGCTATATTAAAGGTTTAATTTTTCATCATTATGTGTAGCAATCGCATGAATTCATTACTGATGATGATCTCTTCAACGTTGTCCATCGACATTTCCTTCTTTTATATTTTCTTTCTTTTTATATAATAAGCAAATTATTGTTGATATGTATTTGAATTATGCTTGCTTTTATTTTTTCATTATTATTATTATTATTATTATTTATAAGTTTCTTTATCCCTCTGTTTATTTATTTGTGTACACATTTGTGATACACACATTCAATGAAGTTCCCAGTGTCATGTATTCCCCCCCGCCACCCGGCGACCGCCTCCAACCAACCCCCGCTTGTTTTTACACCGATCTCATTATTGTCTTTTCTTTTATTTGCTTGTTTTGACTCCGTATATATATTTCCTTCATATGTGTGAGACATTGAAAAACAAAGTGCATTTTTGTGTATAGGTGCAGGTAGGTAGGCATAATTCGCGTATACACCAGAAGTGATTTTCTGTTGTTGTTGCTGCGATTATTACTAGGACACTCTACTTACCGTGTCACTAGTTGCATTCTCCTGTTTGTTTATGTATAACTAACCACCTTACACGCCTACATGCATGTGTTTTATGCATACTGGCCTATATCTTACATATACATATATATATAGGACTATAATATTCACTGTTTTTTAAAACAAAATTTTTTAACCTTTTAATTTGGTTTCATTTTACCTTATTCATCAAAAATAAGAAAGAGGAAAAGAAACAGCACTCTTTTTTCCCCTTAATACAACATGTAATTGTCTTTCAAACGATTATATATATAATACAGACATGTAATTCTCCTGCGCTGACTCTCGCGCGCGTGTGTGCCTGCGTGCGTATGTGTATGTGCCAGCGCATACGCCTTCCTTCTTTCTTTCTTTCTTTTTGGCCGACATATGTTGCGAATCCCCCTTGTGTTGTTGGATTGCTTTTTGTTTTATAATATTCTTCTAAACGATTTTATTGTGTATATTTTTCAAATTCCATTTTTAATCATAAATTTCTAAAAATTAAAAAAAAAATATTGTGAATAGTAGTGGTGGCGGCGGCGTGCTTTTGTTGCATTTTCTTTTATGTGTATGTACGTATGTATTCTCTCTCTCTCTCACAGTAGTGTGCTTTCAGTAGTGTTTAGCATACATACACTTGCCTGCCAACCCTATACATACCATACCGCGTACATGTTCTGGGTTCAATTCCCGGTCGCTAACGCCGCTGCTAAACCTTCAATATCTAGACGATAATAAATAAAACCCGGTAAAGATGAAGAAGAAAGAGGACAGTGTTGGTGGTGGGGGCATGAAATTGGTGACTACTCTAAAGACTTTGTGTTTGAAGTCCTGCGTGTGTGTGTGTGTTGTTTTTATTTTTGTCTGCTGCATGAATAACTGTGTAAAGGATAGATGGATCTTTTTAAATTCTTCTATTGCAAAGCTTTTTTTCTCTACTATAGTTAACACCCTACAATAAAACAGTATAAGAGTAGTGATCACTTATGCTATTGTGTATTCAGTAGGGGACATACTTTGGAACGTATATATATATATATATATATTTGTATACCTGTACTCTCCCCTCACTGAATACAACAACCTGTTTATATGTGATGACTTAAACTAGTGCAATTTCACTTCGTTTGTTTTCTTTGTTGTTCTTTTTTCGTATTGGTTCTTCCTGGGTTCAATTGTTTACTTACTTGACAATATACATTAGTGTAAGTATCCCTTTTCAAAATATAAATACTGTAACATACCCATATATATATATGGATCCTTTTATTGTCATTAACATTATTATTATTATTTGTCTTTTCTATTACTAATTGTTTTTAACAACTGCTTACCTACCTTTTTATGCTATAATATTATTATAATAATATTGTAATGAATGTGATTACAGTTTTTACATTTTTTTGTTTTGTTTTAAAATGAGCTATTCTCATCCTTACTAATTTTTCACTACTAACTAATATAACTATGTTATATAACTACTGGTTAACTAACTGATCACCAATTGCTGTGTATGTATGTATGTATGTAGTATTGTGCATTCAACCGTTTTTTTAAAAGAAAAATCTTATATTTGTGATTTACTCTGACGAAATTACTTCACGTTTACATACACGTTCTACAATTGTATTGGATGTTTCTTTCTTTAAATGTGGATAAATATGTATATGGTGTAGTGTGTGTGCCCCTACAGGAATGCTTTATTTATTTCATAAGCCTTTTTGTGCTTCATTCACCTTTTATTTAATAAGGAACTATATAGACAAATTGACGGTGTGATAATGGGGTCACCACCACTAGGACCCATTCTAGCCGACATTTTCCTTGCGAAACTAGAAAATGGGCCTCTGAAGGATGTTATTAGTGAACTCGAATTTTATTGTCGGTACATGGATGATACTTTTTTTGATTATGAAAAATGAGAAGGAAGCAAAGAGCATCCTGGATAAATTTTGATGAGATACATCCTGCAATAAATTTTACCATCGAGACAGAAAAAGAATCTAGTATTCCATTTTTAGACGTTTTTATGACCAGAAAATAGGATGGCACAATAAGAAGAAGTGTTTATCGAAAACCTACATCAGCCGGTCAGTACACACATTTTCTCAGTTTTGTGCCCTTGAAATACAAACATAATTTGATAAAGTGCCTGGTTCACAGAGCAAGAGCGATTTGCTCGGACGAATGTCTTGATGAGGAATTGAATAATATTAAACGGTTGCTAAATGAGAATGGTTATCCTGAAAAGTTTCTTGATAAGAATATGAATTTGAAACCAAAGCAGCCGAAGTTACCAACAGTTCCAAGAAAGGTCTTATTCTTACGGATGCAGTTCTTTGGGGACAACACTAGCGAGATACTAACACAGCGCATTAGAAATGCGGTAAAACGAGCATTTCCTGCTGCTGAATTACGTTGTATCTTCAAGATCACTCCTCTTCTGTGTTCGGGAGTAAAAGACAAACTGCCTAATTTCGCCTCATCCATGTGTATCTACCAATTTAACTGCTCCTGTGGAGCCATTAACATAGGCCGCTTAATTAGGCGTGTTTCTCGTTGAATTTCCGAACATCACCCTGCGTAGTTAAGCAAAGGCCAAACGAAATCTATTTGTAGCGCTATTCTGGGTCATCTTGTGGATACAGAACATAAGATTGATGTTAACCAGGCTTTTAGAGTTATTTACCGGATACTAACAAATCTCAACTCCGCCTTAAGAGTTCGATTACTAAATATTGCTGAGGCTGTTGGGATCCACATTAAAAAGTCTAATTTGTGCGTCCAAAAGAAGTTAGTTCAGACACTGTCCTTACCTTGGCCATCTAGGTTTGAATGATTCTCAATTTTTGTGGAAATTTCCTAATTTTAGTTAATATTCTATTCGCTATTATATCTTTATTACTATTATAATTTAAGTATCTTTAGTGAACTGTAATTGCATTGATCATACTCTACAAATCGATGTTATTTAAAAAACACTAATATTGTTATTAACTGCCAATCTTGAATATTTTGTGTATATAAACATGTATATTATTGTAGAACCAGAAGAGGAATTTACCGAAAAGAATATTCTTTGCTCGATTATTTTGCATTCAGTAATCATCAGATAAGCTAAGTAGTGGGTGATAAAATACAGTATAATATACAACATTTATGGCGTAATTTTAAATGACGGTCTCTATCATCTAGTTTGACACTAATAAAAATTGATCTTGAAATAATAGAGAAGATTTGTAGCTCGCTCAGGTGGATGATTTGCAATTAATAGTGTTCTCTGACCTGGTTGATTTAATTGCGGGCACTTCGTCGTCCACCCTCTGGACAACATCCCCTTTCAGCGCAATATTTAGCATAAAGTGAAATGATTGAAATTTTTCTTCATGAGTGATAGAATTGCGTCTCCCTGTAACCATCTTTACATATGTATTGATCATTTTCTATTGACTTGGATTTTAAACTTTCTTGTCACCTGATTTACTTTTTATTAGTTGGTATATTTGGTCTGTATGTTAATCGCATATTCATTTGAGTACGAGGCTTCTGGGAGTTCCCTGAGTGCACTTTTGGTGTTTCCTCTATGTAAGATTTCGATAATTGTCTATATGCATTGATATGAAAGAATATACACAATTATGGACATCAGTATGATTGGGATGTTTTTTTATTGCAGCTTGACTCCACGCCGTATTTTTTGGTACAGGTATGGAATTTTCAGCATGTGATATCGGTAGCCCGAATTCCACAGGCTGACCATAGATATCAGGTGTGCGCTGGTAGGAGATCAAACCCCGGACCATGTGCATGGTCGGCGAGGGTCCTACCAAAGTGCCACCGACGATGTCGAAATCTTACATAGAGGAAACACCAAAAGTGCACTCAGGGAACTCCCAGAAGCCTCGTACTCAAATGAATATGCGATTAACATACAGACCAAATATACCAACTAATAAAAAGTAAATCAGGTGACAAGAAAGTTTAAAATCCAAGTCAATAGAAAATGATCAATACATATGTAAAGATGGTTACAGGGAGACGCAATTCTATCACTCATGAAGAAAAATTTCAATCATTTCACTTTATGCTAAATATTGCGCTGAAAGGGGATGTTGTCCAGAGGGTGGACGACGAAGTGCTCGCAACTAAATCAACCAGGTCAGAGAACACTATCCATTGCAAAAGATTGATCTCATTTGAGAAGTTTGAATTTACTAAGAGTGAAAAGATGACATTTAGGACCTTTAGAATAGAAAGCTTACTACATATACAATCTGTTTTAAGTCAATGCACATTTACAGATGTGTGGTTATGCTAGATTAAAGCGTTGGACAAACTGTCTCACTAACTGGATTTTGTTGTCGACAAAAATTAGATATGGTTTTTGGCTGCATCAACCCTGTGACTATTTTGTTGAGTAAATCAAAACAATTAGTCCCTTTGATAAATTTGAATAAGGC